AGCCATCTGTCTCTGGCACAGACTGTACCTGCCTGGAAAAACTCTTGGAAAGTTGCATGCTTTGGTATGAGAAACTGCAAACCACTGGGATTATGCAGGTGAAGAATACACAGGAGTCTCCGAATACGGCTCCTCCACTTGCAAAATGCAGCACACCACTCCCATTCAGGTAGTATATTTTCTTTCCTTGAATCTCCTTATTCAGAGAGTTTCTCTTGGCTGGGATGCCAAGGCCATTCACAGGGACATAAAAGGGGCAGGTTGGGAAATGTCTGCCCGAGGGAGTAGGTGACTGAAGTCAACCCAGGGTTTGGAGCCAAAGATAACAATCCAGAGCGGAAAAAGCAAGCTAAGGTAGCAGGCAGCTGGGACAGGTTAAGGTTAGTTGCAGCCAGCCAGGGCTTGGGAAGCTGGAAATCTACTGCAGCGAGAAGTCAATTCAAGGGCACCTGAGGTCAGCGAGGGAGAGTCAAGATGCAGCCACAGGGAAATCAGAAGTAGGTGAGGGCTTGTGGGTAGCACAGGGGACAGATCTGTATCAGGGAAATTTGATCCACTGTTGTGTTTCCTGTTCCTGCTTCTGAGGTTTCCCTCAGCCGAGGCTTGGCAGGAGATGCTGTAGCTGGGCAGCAGGGATGCTGAAGCCAGCACAGGGGAGAACCAGCAATGCGTCCACTGGGCTGAAGAGAGGAGGTTGTTGGCACGGGAAGGTTAGTGTGGTGGCCAGTGAGTCAACCGAGGAAGATCTTAGAGAACGCAGCAAAGCCCCTCAGGCACAGACCAGCCTCACAAGTGTGGATGCGCAGATGGAGATGAACATTTTCCAAAATTCTTATGTCTACTGCAAAAAGCTCCTTTTCCTCGGTTTCGTAGACTCAAATAGCAAGTAGCTCTGGCTGAGGAGAGAGGGGAAAAGTAAAACAAAGACCTTTCCAGTGACTCAGACACCATGCATCACACTGTTTCTGTAAAGGGACAAGGGAGGCCCATGGCGGTCGGTCATCAGATTCAGGGAGCCGTGAAACCTACAAGATTAGCTATCTCAGGAAGATCCAAGACTCACGAGGTCATACCCGAGGCTATATGTTCAGAAAACAATTGCTAGAGAAGAGAAGTTTTTTGGATGGGGCTGCCTGGAATTCAAGAGCGAGCTCCAGAGAGGCAACCTTCCTAGGTGGTCAGCCACACTGAGGTGGGCTTTTCAGTGATGCAGCTTCTTTTGAGTCAACCATGCTCTATAAGGAAATCTAATGAACGTGTGGATTCACCAAGCTAGCCTTCAGTTCATTGGTTCTTTGGTCTGCCTTCAGTGCCCTCTCTGGGGTCAATAGAACATTACATATCCTTAAAAAAAAAAAAAAAAAATCATGCAACAATGATAAATAAAAAAGCAGCGAATCTTGACTGTTGCATCTAAGAAGAGAGGGAATATACACTTCCATACATCAGAGACAATAGTATAAGAGGAAAAGTCAAAGAAGGAAGGAAGGAAGGAAGGAAGGAAAGAAGGAAGGAAGGAAGGAAGGAAGGAAGGAAGGAAGGAAGGAAGGAAGGAAGGAAGGAATAGAATGAATCTAAGAAGTTTTAATGTTGGTCAGTATTTCAGAGATACAGTATATGTTTCTCTCCCTTTCCTAGTCTAGGTCAGAGTCAAAAGAGATCAAAATGAGAATTCTGGCTTGGCTTGAGATTCTGAGAGCAGAGAAATAGGCACCCTTCTGGCTTCCACATAACCACACATGGAAGCTCATGTACACCAACACCCCCAAACATGAACATACATATATGTTCATGTAAACATGTTCATGTAAATCCTCTTTCCAACCATCCTTCCCCATTAAGCATAATACACACACACACACACACACACACACACACACACACACACACACACACACACACACACACACACACACACACACACGAATGCACACATGCATGCACACACAAAATCATCCCCTCTTCCATTGACAATTGATGAATCAAGTGCATCCTCTTCTCTTGGTAGATGTGTCAATCTAACAACCAGGCACAAACACTCCATTTTTGCATCCAAACAGTACACAAAGATGTGAAAGCCCTCTGTGCTTGGTAACAGGAATTCTGCAGTATTTCCGACATCAATTAATAACTTCATTGCCTCTCTCTGTACAATACAAATAAGAAGAAAAAAAGGCATTCTCTATTGCTTTTCAGCAGTACATGAGAAAGGAGGTGGGTGGAGGCTGCACTACAACTCAAGGTAAGTAAGACTATGTAGAGATGTTAGAGATTCTTCACAGACCTTCTGACAGGTTTGGCCTGGGAGGAAGCAGGGCTGTAATAGAAACGGCAGAAATGATTGCTGCATCTGGTTGGAACTGCAGAAGTCATCATCGGGAACGGCCAAGATACAATGTAGACAGTGTAGATTTAATTTGAATAATGCGTTAGACAATTTCAATTCCTCTGAGTGTCCAGAGGTTTGTATGGTTTTTTTTTTCCCTGTATTTATTAGCAATTTCACCATGAGTGAGAAAACAGACAAAATAATCATGGTAAAAGAAAAATGCATCATTTGAACCCTGCTTATTCCGGTGGGAACCAGTGCCACTGCAGAGGACATGCATAACTCCTTCCGGTACCCATCTTCACAGTGCAGATCCCCAGTCCCTCTAGAATACCAACAACACTGCCATGTCTGCCCTGTAGGAAATGCCTGAGCACTATGGGAATCTGGAGCTATCCAACGCATTGACAGAGAGCTCATGTTTTATTAATTGAGCAGTTATGCACCAGATGAACTTGATCCAGGAGGGGTCACATCAGACCCCGTGGCACCAATCAGGAGATGATGAAATTGTTTACTTGGCTGCCTGAACCACTACAGTGTCATTTCCATTAAGCCCAGGCAAGTTGTTTTTAGAAAAATATCTTCAGTCCCAATTATCATTAAATATTTAAGGAATAAGTCAATGAGTGTCTTATAAAAACGAAGTTAAGAAGCAGAACTCACAGGGCAGCTGTGACAAAATACAGATTCCACATGAATTATCTTTTGAGAGAATCAGAGTAAGATCATAGAGAGGCATGGAAACCTGATAACGAGGCATCCCATTCCAGTGGCCCTGACATGAACAAAGACCAGGATCAGTCAGATTTTTCATCACCCCGTATGGGCATAAAACAAAAAGGGGAGCTTTTGTTTTTGTTTTTGTACAGAACACAAGCAGGCATTGACAAAGAGAGGCGTCAAAAACACAAAGAGGAAGAGGTGGCCTAGGGGACTACACAGAAATCAGAGTTTTAACATTTATGGCTGCTGCCCTTGGACCAAACTTCTGGGACTGAAATTTCTGGCCCATGGGACAATCCATGTGTAAGATGAATCTTAAAAGGTCTTATTAATAAAAAAAAAACCCGGAGCCAGGTATTGGGGTAAAAACTGAGAGTTCAGGGAAGCAGAAAGAAGCCAGCCACGTTCCTACTAGAAATCCTCAGCCAAAGAGAGGCCTACTTCCTGTATACTCACGCCTATATACCTTTCTGTCCCCGCCTTCTTACTTCCTTTCTCACCCAGCTACATCACTTCCTCTTTCTGCCCAGCTCTGCCCTGCCTGTCTGTCTGTACAGACCTCCAGACCTCCATGGTTAACCAGTGCTGGAATTTAAGGCAGGTGCCACCACGCCTGGCTCTGTACCCAGTGTAGCCCTGAACTCACAGAGATCCGGATGAATTTCTGCCTCCCGAATGCTAGGGTTAAGGGTGTGTGCTACCATTGCCTGACTTCTATGTTTAATATAGTGGCTGGATTTTTCCTCTGATCTTCAGATAACCTTTACTCGGTGGGGTGCACAAAGAAAATATCACCACATCCATGACCATCATCATATATGTGTGCAGGCTAAGGATTCTGGCTTAAAATTATTCATACAACAGTCAGCTCTGGGTACTAATACATTCAGATTTTCTTATAGATAGGAAAGAGGTACTTTGCAAAAAAAAAAAATCTACCCAATTTAGCTATTTTCTATGCCTTTCATATTGAGATTTTCAGATCCAATATTAAAATGAATTATCTCATTGATATGTGTTATGTGGTGGTAGAACAGAAGTTGGGAACCAATCCCTCTCTAGAGAGTTAGAATGTGTGTTTAGAAATCCTCTTTTACCAAAACTCTAGACCATGGGGGCAATACACAGGGCACTGTTACTTATTAAGCTCACAGCCTCTTTACTCAATGCTCAGGATGGGCTTCTAGGAATTATAAGCAACTCATTTGAAAACACTTTGTCTTAGCACAGAAGAACTCAGACATCAGATGCTCAAGGCTTTCCCTGCATCTCAGTTCAGTTCTCCGGAGTCTCCTGACTAGATAGCCTCTAAATCGGTTTAAACCGATGATACCTGTTAGAAATGAGTGCCAGCCCACATTTTAAAGAGTTTGGTCCCACAGAGCTTCTCCTCCTTCAGATGGCTAACATACTTGTGATTCACTGACTTGCAACAGGTTGTATTTTTAGTGATATTTTACATCCATTATTTATTTACTTATTTATTATTTATTTATTTGTATAGACTGGGGTGGTGGTGGTGTAAGGAAGAGGCATGCATGCGATAGCACATGTCAGAGGGGAACTTGCAGGAGACCTCTCTCCTTCTACCATATGGGTCTCAGAAAGAGAACTCAGGTCTCTGGGCTTGGTGGCAATGACTTGACCTGCAGAATCATCCCACTAAGCCTAGTGTTATCTGCTAGCCTGGTTCAAAGAGTTCAGAAGGACATTTTCTTTGTTTACTAATTTGCTATCCAGTCCACTAAGGAGAGACAAAGGGACCAAGAGCAGAAGCATCCTCCCATGGTGGATACATCCCAGGTGGATGCATTCAGCAACCCAGAATCTCCCTATTCTGATGCCTATAGCCTCTATCAGTGGGATGATACATAATTGAAAAGTAGTTTCAGGGTTGCTGTTGTAGATCAGTGGTAGAACTTTTGCATAATCGGTTCAATCCCCAGTGCCAGAAGAGAGAAGAGAAAAAAGAAAAAGAGACAAACACCTTTTCCAGATGACCCTGTCTGAAAGTTCCAAGACCATGACCCAAAATAAACAATCTGTCTTTGTAAGTACCTCAGTTAGCTAATACCCGAATGTTCCCAGCATCTTTAAGTCTTTATTGATTCAGAGAACTAGCTCAAATCTACTGTCATTTCAGCCTCGAAAACTGGCTTCTAACAGGAAGAGTGGGATGAAAATCCAAATAGTTTAAGTTTCCAAGAGTGTGTGGAAGCTCCCCGCCGTGAGTGTTTCGCTGGGTTCGGCTGCAGCAGACGAGGATTTCCTCCTGTGAAGCAGACCTCGATTCAATCAGAAAGCAGGTGGTTAGCCCCATAGTAGTGGTGCCATTACTGCATGAGTGCTCATGTCCTCCTCGGCAGGTCAGTCTCACAGTGCAAAGGGCTCTTAGCGGGTTAAGACGCTTAATGCTTTTTCTCCATAGCTATCTAAACAACACCTTCTGGAACTGTGAAAGCTAACTGGCTTGGGGAAGCTCCCAGTACAGTTTGAACTTGATTTCTCTACAAGATGCCAGCAAGGTGTATTTTGTCTTCAGCATGGTATCTTCCACCATACGGTCATATCTTCTATTTCTGGTGGACCAACTTCGAATGGCAAGAGCTTGTGATTTTTGCAGGGGTATAGTTTTTTTGGGGGTGTCTTAGTTAGGGTTTCAATTGCTGTGAAAAGATACCATGACCACAGCAACTCTTACAAAGGAAAAACATTTAATTGGGGTAGCTTACATTTTCAGAGGTTTAGTCCATTATTATCATGGTGCGACATGGTGATGTGCAGGCAGACGTGGTGCTGGAGAAGGAGCTGAGAATCCTACATCTTCACCCGCAGGCAATAGGAAGTGGTCTGACACACTGGGCATGGCTTGAGCATATATGAGACCTCAAAGCCCATCTCCACAGTGACACACTTCCTCCAACAAGGCCATTCCTAATCCAACAAGGCCACACCTTCTAATAGTGCCACTCCCTATGATCTTATGGGGGCCAATTATATTCAAACTACTACAGAGGGCCTGCACTCTTCCTTACCAGCAACTCACAAGGAAGTATCCTACTCCTGATAATGAGTTTCTTTGTTTAATAACCTATGGCTTCTAAGAACAGCTTTGTTTAGCTATACAGAGTATTTCCCTCTAAACTCTTTCAAAAATCTATAGTTCTAATTTTTTACAAGATAGTAGATTTCCATATGTTTTCCTCATATCCTCTTTATTTTAGTTGCTTCCCTACCATTGTGTAGTTTTTATGCTTTACTAGGATATTGATGTAGAGATGTTTATATTTCCAGTTAATTCACATTTCCCTTGGAAACTTTTATATAAACACACACACACACACACACACACACACACACACACACACACACACACACACACACTGAACATCTTGAACACAGGAACACATATCCATTTAATCATATTCATTATGGGAATAATAAATTACTTAACCAATTTCCTATTGATGAACATTTAAGTTACTCTCACCTAGAAAATATAACTATTATATAAATGCTTGTTCTAAAAGTAGAATCTCGAGGTCAAAGGGATTGGCCACTTAATGATGCCATCAAACAGCCTCCATACAGTTTGGATCAATTCAGACTTCAGCTGACAGAATGTTTAGTTCCATGATCCATATACTGAGATGTGAAGGGCAAGCTAGTCTGTTTAAAGTTCAGCAGTAAGAAAACCTACTACTGTGACATCTTCTCCCAGTGTCCAAGTATCAGAAATTCATGATCTTTTTAGGGATTAGAGTTTTCTCTAGGAGGCCATGACTGAAGTGTATCAGTGATCAGGGTAAGTGGCTTTGAAAGGTTCACAGTCTTTTGTGTCTCTCTGTCTCTTATTCTCTATCCCTCCCTCCCAAGTGTGTGTGTGTGCAGACAGAAGAAGAGAAATACAAGTATGGGTATAGCACACATATGCTCCAGATTTTTTCTAGAGAAAAAAAAATCTCAATTATATTATTTCATAAGAAAATTCCATATAGTTTGCTTATATAATTGCATCTCCAATTTTACAAAGGTCTTTGGCCTTTGTAAACTCAGAAAGTACCATCACTGTGGTATGGTTAATATCTAGACAGAACAGATGGATGTTCCACCTCAGGCAGACATGAGATCAGTGTCACTGCAGGAAGTGAAATCTTTAGTTCTGGGTCATCCGGCAGGTTTACGGTGGGGACGGGTTTCCGTCTCTGGGTTTTCTAGTGCTGTTCTCTATCTAGTACAGCCCACTCCCAGAACTCTGCTCAGTCGTCCTCTAAGGTAGGCTTGCCCTCATTTGTTCTCAGTTCATCTGTCTCTGTTTCTCCCTTGCAGGGTGAAGTGCGGGAGTGAAGAATTGGAAAGCACACCGGTTTCCTAAGGCTGACTGGAGACTTGGGATGTTTCTGTTTAAATCTCACTAATGTATTCCAAACATCGAGCCTTAGGCTTTCTCCCCCCCCACCCCCACCCCCCCCCCGGATCCGTTACCCCCCCCAAGTTTCAGAACGGGAGGGTGTCCAGGGCCGTGAGGGGAGAGGGACTCTTAAAGCTGGTGGAGGCTGCAGTGCACGCTGACTCGGGGACCACGTTGTGCTCACCTCATGTTTAAAAGGAGGTGCCCCCACCCCACTCCCCAACTCCCCCACCCCCGCTCCATGTCCCTCTTTAGTTTGTTATTGCCACGGCTTTGCCTGACTTCTCTTTCTTTCCCTATTCAAAAGGAAAGGATCCGGGAAAGTCCTATGGTGGGAATGGAAGGTCTTCTTTAAAAGTCTTGAGATGTGTTATTTGAAACAGACCAGAAAGCATGTGGTCCTAACATGGGAGAGATTTGCAATAACCAGAAGAAGGAGAGAGGGAAAAGAGCATCTGAGCCGGGGAGAAGGGAGCCAGATGCCTCTCAGGGACTGCCACACAAGTTGTTAATGCCTGTGGGATGGAAGGGGAAGATTGCTGGCTTCTCAGGATTGACTTTCAGGCGAGTGCAATGCTTTTTCTTCAGAGAACAAGAAACACAATGGAGAAACAAAGGCAAAGTTGCTCCCTAGAGACAAGCTGAGGAAAAAGCCACACATCCTCCTTAGCAGGAATATTTCCCAGACGTTTTATCTCCCCTCTCTTCTTTTTATTTTTATTTTCAACCTACCTGCAATAAATTAATCCATGAAGGCTTAATGTCGTCACATTTCTACATTTCTGATGGCGATCTGGCTTAAAGGGGAACATGCACTAGGACCCTCTCCTGTTCGAATCCATTCTTTTCTGGGCAATCTGGGAACACATTGCTTTTTCCTTGTTGTGTTACCTGTGAGTTGATAGTGGTCTTGTCTGTTGCCTGTTGGCAGGCTGCTGTGTTAAGAAAATGGGTATCGGTTAGGAATTAAATCTGACTTTTGAAACTGTGTGTTAATTACTTTTCTCATTGTTGTGACTATATGACCAGGAACAACTTGAAGGCCGGAAAGGATTTTTTTTTTTTTAGTTTCACGGATCTATGGTAGTGAAGACCCAGTCCATTAGGGGTCGTGGGAACTTGCAACTCAGTTTGTTATCTCTTGGTGGATCAGGAGTCACACAGCTTGGGTTGGAAGCAGAGCTCCACTTTTCAAGCTCTATGTCTGTCAGCTTGGTCCCATGTGAAAAAGGTTTCACAATGGTCTAAATCCGAACCACCAGCTGGGCGGGGCAAGTGTGCAAATAACATGAGCTTGTGTGGGACAATTCTCATTGAAACCATAATGCTGTGGTAACCAGAATGCTTTCCAAAGATAGACTCTCAAGAGGGCACAGAGTAGGAAAAGAACCCGACCTAGAAATAATGGACACCTAGTAGGAAATTCTCAGAAGAAGAAGAAGAAGAAGAAGAAGAAGAAGAAGAAGAAGAAGAAGAAGAAGAAGAAGAAGAAGAAGAAGAAGAAGAAGAAATAGTGGCCTTTCCTAAGGCATTTTTTTGGCTTCAAAGTAGCAGCTTTATCTTTATGACCACCCCCTCCACCCCCACCTTCCCACCCTCAGGGTCCTTACTTGTCTACTTGGGGTAGATTGAAAGAAAATGGCTCCCAAAGGGAGTGGAGATATTAGGAGGTGTGGCCTTGTTGGAGTAGGTGTGGTCTTGTTGGCGGAAGTGTGTCACTGTGGAGGCGGGCTTTGAGGTCTCATATATGGTCAAGATACTGTCCAATGTTTTTGTCTACTTCTCGTTGCCTGCATATCAACCTGTAGCAGCTACCTATCCAGCACCACGTCTGCCTGCACGCCCCCATGGGCCACTATGATGATAATGGACTGAACCTCTGAGCTGTGAGCCACCCACCATTACGTGCTTTCCTTTGTAAGCATCGCCATGGTCATGGTGTCTCTTCACAGGACTAGAAACCCCAAACGAAGACACTGTCACCACCTCTTTCCCTTGTCACAGAACACTGGTGAAAGGTGCAGGCAGGGGGGTGACATAGAGGCCAGGGCCATCTTCATATGCCGTCTTATGTTTAATTTTCACAACAGCGCCGATACATACTGTAGTGTTCTCTATTCTGCTGAGATAAAAACTAAGCCTAAGGAATTAAATGATGCGCCTGGAGCAAAATAGCACTAAAAATCAGGTTTTTGGACTTTATCTAAAGGCTTCCAGGTTATCATTGACCTGCATCAGGTTTTCATACGTTTTTCCCCAAGTTTATTGACAATCTAGATAATGTTTTGGGTTTTTTTTTTTTTGTTTTGTTTTGTTTTGTTTTGTTTTTTTTTTGCGGAGGTATGGAGGGAAATGTTTACATCTTAGGGGTTCCACTACTGTGAAGAGACACCATGACTATGGCCACTCTTAATAAGGAAGACATTTCACTGGGGCTGGCTTACAGTTTCAGAGGTATATAGTCCATTATCATAATGGCAGGAAGCATGGTGGCATACAGGCAGACACAGTGTTGGAGAAGAACACATTTCCTCCAACAAGATCACATCTACTCTGACAAGGCCACTCCCTAGGAGCCTATGGGAGACATTTTCATTCAAATCACCACAGTTTATCACAGCTCTAAGAAAGGTTTAAAAATAAATAGATAGATAGATAGACAGAGAAAGAAAGAAAGAAAGAAAGAAAGAAAGAAAGAAAGAAAGAAAGAAAGAAAGAAAGAAAAATTTAAAAGGCAGAAGACTTTACATCTATCAGCCTTATCTCCGAAGAGAGCAAAGGAAAACACAGGGTTTTGACCTCATTCATGTAGGTCAAAACACAGACAGGTTAAAGTTTGTAAGGAAATCGATTGTAAGAAAGTCGTGCTAGGTAGCAGACGGTCAGGTGAGGTGGGGGACAATGTGGAAATTGGAGAATTGTGGTTTCGGAATTGGATTATCTAGTGGCTTTTCCTGAGCAAGCATGAGCAAACATCTGTTCACCACGGATAGGACACCGACAGTAGATTCTGCCCATGTCTTGCCTGAGGGTTGCCAGGAGTGCATTATGCCAGAAACATAGAAGAATATGGTAGTGCCTTTGCATAATCTCAGAATTCATGGAATAACAATAAAACCACAACGGTACAACAGATCATTGGCAGCCAATTCCCAGGTAGTCCCACTGTCCACGGCAATCCTGGCTGAGGCAACCCTGGGTTCCTCCAGTCCAGTCTTAATTACTAATATTAGCTCTCAGCTTGCACATCACACAGCACATAGTAAATCTATCTATCTATCTATCATCTATCTATCTATCTATCTATCTATCTATCTATCTATCTATCTATTTATCTAGGTAAGGATTAACCTTTATAGCTGAAAAAGATTAATAGGCCCCAGCAGAATTAAAGAGGTGTCAGAGGCCAGGGCCAGGAAAAGAAATAGTGTCTCTCTCAGCAGTAAGCAGCTAACTGGCTGGAGGTCTGCTGGAGAGGTTTTGTGCCGCTGCAGGGTCGGAGCCCAGCCACAGGAGTGAAGAGAAATGAAGGCAGGTCCAAATGGTCTGGGAAGATAGTTGGACGGCAGGTCCAGATGGGCAAAAAGGAGGACAGGCTAAAGGCAATCCAAGCAGGCTATGCCAATAGCAGGGACCCAGCTAAACTGGAGCCCCAGAAGCAGTCAGAATTCTATACCTGTAAGTCCTTACACACACACACACACACACACACACACACACACACACAAAATCAGGTGACAAGATGACCAGCTATTGCCATTGTAGTGTTGGGTGTCCACCTTTCTTTGTAGGGTCGGTCCATGGGAAGGAGTTAAGCCTTTTATTCTTTCTGTCTGTTGTGTGAGAAAAGTTTTAAGGTCTGGTTTTCCTGAAAACAACTGTAATACACTTGGATTCCCGCCCCCCCCCCCAGGTCTAGTTCATCTAGTTGAATTTACAGAGAGGGACCCTTTTTCCTCTCAGGAATAAGTCCTTTATCTGTACTACATGGTGATGCTGTTCATGTATCCATCTAGGCGCAGGGATACTCTGTATATGGAGTCAAAGGCTACTTGTAGAGGGGAGTCTCTCAGCACAAGGCAATATGAAATAACAGTAATAGAGTTTTGCACAATACAGGTTAATGTAGGGTAGGGCTCAGCCCGACGTCAAGATGAGAGGAGCTTGGAGAAGGGGTTTCATGCTCCTACAAGGCCATGAGAGACCTGGAAGCTGGCTGCATCACTGGAAGGCCACCTGAGCTTGCTTGGGTGATGACTCACAAAACCTGCCTCTCTGGACCTCCCTGCCCAGCTGGTAGGCAGCTCTACCGAAGAAGTCAGCTTCCTCCCAGCAATTATTTCCTGTCTGTGTAATTTTGGGGAGGGGCCTCAAGAGTCTTGTATCTGTCCAGGCTTCCTAGGTCCTGTAAGTTTTGTGAGCTTCCTGAGCTGCGTCTTTTGTGGTTGGTTGGTTGGTTGGTTGGTTTGCTTGCTTGATTTTTTGAGACAGGGTTTCTCTGTGTTGCTCTGGCTGTCCCGGGACTAACTGTGTACACCAGGCTGGCCTTGAACTCACAGAGATCGGCTTGCCTCTGCCTCCCTGAGTGCTTTTAAAGCGTGCGCCACCACCAACTTGTGAGCTGAGTCTTAAGAACCTCTTTCCTTCCACCAAGAAGGAATGCTTCAGTTCAGAGAAACTAGCTGCACTGTCCTTGGGCTCAGTCCCTGCCTCGATTGCTTTTTTAGCTGTATGGCCTTAGACAAATCTGCTCACCTTTATATACCTTCGTAAACCTGTGAGAAAATGCTATTTATCTCATGAGTACCCGTGAAACAATTTTTGCGTATGTAGTGAACTTTGTATAAATGGTAGCTGTCATTGCGGTTTTACTATGAAGACCTGGATGGAGTGTGAAGAAATGATGGGCTCCTGTTGTCACTGTGGTGTGTGATCATATTACTACACTACAGAAAAGCCTCACAGCAGATGTAAAACAGAAGCCAGTGTGAAGAAGATGACTGGAACCCCTGCTTACCTGGCCTTCTTTGAAGAAAGGGAGCATTCCAAGAAAACCC